GAAATGACCGAGGATATTTCATCATTATCTTAGTGATGGAAGGGACCATGAATCACTGAATATCATTATTGGCAATTCACTTAGCAGCATCGATGCATATCTGGTATTGTGGAGATCAGTGCTGGATACCGAACTTATTATGGTGATTTTGCTCAATCAGCGGGCTGCATTAATGTAATGCGTCTCATTTTTATAGACTAGTATTCACACGGACCTCAATCCTATACTGACCTGTCTCACCAACTTTGGCCTCTCAGGCACCATCGCTCAGCATACTCTAAGTTTTGCTTCGGACAGTCAAGGAAGAAATGTTATTTTGTATGCTCTTACGATAGATCGAAGAAACACACAAAAACAAGAATGTGAGAAATTCTATCTGCCAGACGGACTGACAAGCTGAGCAGGGATTATGCTTTCACCAACGAGTAGAGTTTTATAGAAATTTGCACGAAGTGTCGTAAAAGAGTGTAGTGGCCTATCCCCACCCCTTTCTCATTCGCGTAAGAATATGATTAATCTTTGAATATATGAAGAAATACCGGGTTTAGAAGAATTCCTTAATGAAATATTGTGGCATGACTCTCCATTTCGAAGGGAAAATTGGTTGAAATTAATTTGTGGTGCGGTCTTACCGGAAAACGAAGGAGGCTTGTAGCGTATAGAAGACTGTTCTTCGCACAATTAAACAGTGTTCCCAACGCAACAATCATCCTTCAGATTCCGGTGCGACGGCATCACGAATTTCTTTCCGACCAACTTTCCATTCGAACTGGAGACTAATGCCACAATATGACTAATCTTCACGTTTGCTTGGACCTGGGGCGTTTATACTTTTTCCATTTCGAACAGCTTTCAAAGATCGTCCTTCTATTCTCAGCCCCAATACTGTATTCATCCGTTTCTAAATAGGGCACTTGCTAATGCTATTTTTCCTTTTCTATCTTCGTTTCGGGCCCCTAACTTTGCGGCTGTAAAGTGCAAGAGTGCTATAATTGAAAGACAGCCCACGTCCTCTTTGGAGCACTAAAAAGATAAGCTTATTAGCCATCAAAAGAGTTGCAGGTAAAAGATTGTCACTTCCTATCTTATGTTTACATTTAGTGGTGGGCGGTCGTAATATTGCGAATCCATCTTTATGGCTAAAGCATGATTCTAACTGGTTACTCAGTCATCACTGAGGAAATCTGCATGTTAATACCAAAGGGAAAGGGGTAACTAATTTTTTCGGCCCGCGAAGGTTTAATCTCAAGGAGCGATTAAATGTGATGAAGTTGTTTCATTCTTAATGATAGCGGACTCATATTGCAAACTTCGGATGAAGGACGTAAGCCCACTTAATATTTGCACTTATTTGTTAGCGCAGCCTTAGAATATACTGGAATTTAGATGTTGAAGTAAATAACTTGCATCGTTTATCTTCAGAAAGTTTTTGAGTAACAGAGGCTCGATATACGATGAAGAGGGTGGGCGTGCTTGTAATGCGAAATTCACAGCTGTATGGAACCGTTAAACAAGAGTATGAAATATTCAAATAATGCCTGTGAATATTTGGGAATAACCCGTTTGTGATGGTGAAACACACTTGCAGTGAGGTCAGTATAAGAAGGGAATCGATGGGGTTATTCTTTCCTTACCTCAGAACTAAATAGTTAATTACTGAATGGATAAACCTCCTTTCTTCCGATTGACTGGTTGTTGTGTCGAATGTTCGACGTATTCCTAAATTAGGAGCTTATAGATCACGATA